TCTCAACTAGGGAGTGGAGACCCTATGTTGGCAAAAGGCGACTAGGGAGTGGAGACCCTATGTTGGCAAAAGGCGACTAGGGAGTGGAGATACTATGTCTAAAATAATCTCAACTAGGGAGTGGAGACCCTATATTAGCAAAAGGCGACTAGGGAGTGGAGACCCTATGTCTAAAATAAATTCAACTAGGGAGTGCAGTCCCTATGTTGGCAAAAAGCGACTAGGGAGTGGAGACCCTATGTCTAAAATAAATCTCAACTAGGGAGTGTACACCCTTATGTTGGAAAAGCATAAAAATTGAGATTGGGGATCCTAAACTACCATTTTTGAATTTTCTTCTTATCTCTTTCTTTTTCTTCTTTTTTTCTTTGTGTTCTTCTCTTTTCTTTTATTTAATGAGTAAATGCAAGAAAAAAATGGAGGGGACTTCCCTTTTTATGGATTGTTGCTACAAAGCTATTTCTAGCACTTGCGCATTTTATTTTTGGTTGGACCTGCTTCTTGCACGATTGCTTAGGATTGCACCTGTTTCGAATTTTCAAACAAAGAACAATTGTTAATTCAAAATGGTGGTTGGTTTTGTGGCCTTGATTGTTTTTGATCACTTGATCTCGGAACAACTCTTTTGGTGAGAACCTCTATTGCTTGCTAGCTTTTCTGAAGATTGATTTCTCTACTAAAACCGAGGACCTCAACTTTCCAAAATTTCACATGGCGGTTCACCCGTGTGGGGCTTTGGCCCTTTCACCTTATTCTGCCTCTAGGGACATTTGACTTTGGTTTTCTTTCATTTTCAATAATTTCAACTTTCGAGCATCGGCCATCATGGCCAATCGGGATCGACTTGATGCACCTGTTGAGGCTGGGTACCTTCTTTGGATTTGGCTTTTGTTAAGAAGAACTTTGTTAAACCAATCTTGCCACCTTTTCTTTGTATTAGTTTTAGAACAGAGTTAGACCGAAAGGGGTTCAAAGAAAAGTAAACAAAGGACAAGAAAGTGAACTTAAAGAGAAGTGTCCCTTTCAGGGAGGAAAGAAAGACTTATCAGGAGTGCATGCAGACTTCAATAGACATGACATGCTTCTTGGACTGGATACCCGATCTGCACAACTATCCAATTTCTCACAAACCCATTGCAACCCGTGTTTTAAAACCGAGAAACCTTGCTAGGACTTTTTCAGTGCCAATGGTGGTGAGGAATTTCTTCTGTTCGATCAACGGCGCCCTTTGCGGGTTTTCGCCAATCTACCTCTCTCATTTCTCTTCTCACCATCGCCTTATAGTTCTCTTTACAAGTTTTCACTAACAAGACTCTCTCATTTTCAATTTCTCTGCTCACCATCGACTTATGGTGCTAGTGGGTTTTCACCAATAAGACTCTCTCATTTTATTTTTCTCATCTTGATTGCATCGGATCCAAACAATTGCATTCTCCGATTTTGAACACCTTTCACCGATTTATCGGAAAGACTTGAACAAGGTTTGGGTAAGAAGAACTTGGATCAAATTACAACTTTGGAACCGCTCAGGCGGGATCATTGCCGAACCATTATAATATCTGCCCCAGTTTCACTTTTGGGGGAAATTAGATTTTGTTTTGGTGAAACTAAACCCCAGAGAGGCTGCCTACATATCCTTTCGGAATCAACTCGAACATAGTTCAGGGAAACATTTGATTTTTTGTTGTTTTTCTTTTTCTTTTCTTTTTTTATAAACGTTTTCAAGTTCCAAAGAGGATAATGAAAGAAAGGTAACCGACTCAAAGGGTTAGCAAAGGATTGGAGTGTTTGGGGTAGCGAGTGTCACACCTTCTTTTTACTTACACCCCCGAAGAGGGTAGATGAGGGAGTTTTTTCCAACTTAAAGTGACAATCAAAACGGGATTTATTTATTTATTAAATTCAGAGTCGCCACTTGGGATAATTTTATGGTGTCCCAAGTCACCGGTTCAAATCCCGAATCGAGGAAAGATTGACTCTCTTTAACAGTTCGCGCACCAGAAATCCGGGTAAGGAATTCTGTTAACCCGGGAGAAGGTGTTAGGCATTCCCAAGTTCCGTAGTTCTAGCACGGTCGCTCAACTGTTATATTCGGCTTAATTATCTGATTTTAAACCATTTTAAACCTATGTGCAAATTTTAGTTCATTAACCGCTTTTAATCATTTTTAAGAAAATTCAACGCTATTTAAAACATGTCTTGGATCACGTCACATAAATGCACCCGCGGTCCACGACACATTTTAACTAACGTTGTTGAGATTTGGATTTGGGTCACATAAATGCGCACCCGTGTTTATGACATTTATGTATCGAAACCATACCACGGGAAACCGTACCCATATCCACGATATTTAATAATAGTTGCGCCTAAGACAAGCTATGATTTTTCATAAGTGATTATTTCCTAAGTATGCTCCTAACGACCCGAATGATTAAAAGAGAAACAACACAAAATTAACATAATCTTTCTTAAGCTCGAATTCCTTTTTCATTATTTACCAAAGTCCCAAATCCAATCTTAAACCAACTACCCCATGGCCCAAATTCAAACCTTTCTCTCAAGTCCCAAACACAACACTGACTTTTAAGTTATGATTTTAAACCAAATAAGCTATAATAAGGGAGAAATCAGTTGAAAACAAAACCAACCAATTACTCAAACTCAAGTAGGAAAATGAAATAAACCAAACTATATGTGTAACAATGGTAGAACTTTTGATTAAAGCAAATAAACTCAAGTTGAATGTAACTGTTCATAGAACAAAAGCGTAGATTACTAATTGATGCTATTTAAGATGAGTGATATATACATTTGACCCAAATATACCTTCCGAAATCTCCCACTGCTTCATCACTGACCAATCTAATGGTTTTTAGACTTTTAATACTAACTAGAACCCAAACAACAGTAAGAACCTCGGCAAATAACGAAAAGTTAGCCAACATCTCAAGCAAAATAATTGACAAACACATAATAAATCACACCCCACAGTAATATAAAGTAATTGCATTCTTTTTGACATAAGAAACCAAAAATTTTCAAACACCATTCCATCCGCAGCACAACGGAGTCAAAACACAATTCCAATTGCCATTTTTAAACTCAAGAGCTAGAAACAGTATAATGGAGCTGAAACTGAAACGTAAATAAAACTCGAAATCCACAACATATCGCAGCATATATGCGTATTTCGAATTTTACTTGAGCTTTTCCAGCAAAAACAAATATATTTTAGGTTAGCACATTGATAGCTTGACAGGATTTGTCACGGAAACAAAGCAGCAGAAGAAGAACGAAATGGAAGAACTGACCTTCTATTATTGAAATTCTGGAGCAAATACAATGAAAATAAAGATCTAAGACCGCACAACCTCCGAGCGAGCTACAGACTAGGCATCTGGACCGGAATCACAATCTCGAATAAACCCGTTAAACAAAGACCACGCCGGAAAACTTGACCTCGAGGACTCAAACGATGAACTCAGTCCGAATCTCCTTTTGTTATATAGTTTGTTTTGTTCTGCCCGTTTTATGTTACTTTCATGTGTGTGTGTTTGCCGTTTTCAATGGTGGTCGCCGGATTTCTCGCCAGATCTATCACCTTCCTGCGTAGCAGTAACAGGGAAGTCGGAGGAGTAGCGGTGATGGGAATGGGGATCGATGGGGATCGTTTGGTGTTCTGCAGCAGATTAGTGTCTCTTTTGGTTCTGCGCCTGATCTCTTTTGTAGTGTCTAGGCATTAGGTCTCTTTTTTGTTCATCTAGGTCTAGGTTTGGTTGAAGCTCGGTGGTCTTTAGGTTCAACAGATGAAGAAGAAAAGCTCAAAGTTCATAGGGGGTTGTCGTTCAGCTAAGGAAGAAGACGAAATACTCGATGGATGGGAACTGTGTTTTCCGGCGGATTGGCGGCGTGGCTGACGGGGGTGAATGAGATGATATCAGGGGTCGTTTGGTGATTAATGTTCAGGGGTCACTGGTTTTTTTTTTTGATGCTGAAGGAAAATCGAGAAAAAAGATGGGGAATGGTCGAAGAAGAAGACCTTCAGGGAAAAGAGGTCTGTCCAAAAGCTACGCAGCTTTAGCTTTTCTTCTTATCCGTCTTTCCCTTTTTTCTTTACTCTAAGGCGTTCTTTTATAGTGTAGAGTGTAGGTCTAGATAGTTGTAGGGATTTTAGGTTAAGCGGTATGGCCTAGGAATTATGAGCTTGAAAATTATGGGTTGGGTCCAAAATTAGGCCTAAAATGGGTTGCTCGAGCCCAAGTTCTATTCTTTCCATGCGAACAAGATTAAAAATACGATCCCATTTATCAATTAATCCTACTATTGAAATCATTATTAAAATAAAACTAACCATTAAAACAAATCTATTTTTGGTATTTTCAAATATCATATTAAAATAAAAATACGATATTATTTTTTGTATTTTTTTTAAGATTAAAAATGATTACAAAACATTAATGAACCAATTTTTGTAATTTTTGTTTTCTTGTAATAAAATAAAGTAAAAGAGTCAAAATTACTTAAAATATCTATATTATGCCTAAATTAAATATTTACGCGCTAAAATATTAAAACTCTTGGGGAGGGTCAAAAATCACATGTCTACAGCTGCCCCTCTTTGACTGGAAAGACGTAGTATTTTTAGACAAAGAATGACCAGACAGGTTTTTTGACCTGACCCTTATTTGGAGAAACTAAAACTAAGAGAGAGGGGAATGTGACCGAGCTCTGGTATCTGAGCTGCCTACATATCCTTGGCTATAAAGGAATTAGGCCACGTGTAGTTTAGAGATGAGTGAGATGACGGAGTATGCCGAGGTGGAGATCCGGTCGAGGTGCCGTTCCGCCGAGGTTCCGGTCCACGATTCCTGTTATTACATCAAAAAATCAAATGAAAAAGACTAACTAAACCTGTCAACCACGAGTTTCAAGATTCCTATCTATAAGTCTTCTGAAGCTTGATCTTGAGTCTTGAATGGTTCTTCATGCAGACTTTAGATTTGAACCTTGGCGTTTGTTAGCTGCAGGTTCTAGCTCGTTCTTCTACAGCTTTTTGGATCAAGACCGGACATGTAGTGCTTGTGACTTCCACCATGTCTTAAGCAGTTCACATCTTCCATCAACTTCTGCATTTGGATTCACTTCTTGACTTTCTCTCTTTTTCTTTATTGTGACTAACTTTTGTTGATCACCTCGGACTGTTGACTCGCATTCTTGCCGCAGGATTCTTTGGTTGCTGACATGAATTGCAATCTGAGATGCTTTTCCTTTTCTTCAGGTGGACGCCTGATTGTTGAACTCGAACTGTATTCCCTTGCTCTCCAGGTGGGCTCTTGACTGTTGAACTTGAACTGGTTTCCCTTGCTCTCCAGGTGGGCTCCTGATTGCTAAACTTGAATGTATTCCCTACTCTCCAGGCGGGCTCCTGACTGCTAACTTGAAATGTATTCCCCGCTCTCCAGGCGGGCTCCTGATTACAACAAAATAGACAAAACAAAGAAAATTTTCTGCCCCAGTTTGGTGGCTGGGCACAGATGTGAGTATAAAACTAAATCATGTTACCAAATAAGAACTTGAAAGCTAAAACTTGAATTGTACTCCCTTGTTCTCCAGGTGGGCTCCTGATGACTTGAAATGTATTCCCTACTCTTCAGGCGGGCTCCTGACTGCTGACTTGAAATGTATTCCTGCTCTCTAGGCGGGCTCCTGACTGCTGACTTGAAATGTATTCCCTGCTCTTCAGGCAGGCTCCTGACTGCTGACTTGAATGTATTCCCTGCTCTCCAGGCGGGCTCCTGACTCCTGACTTGAATGTATTCCCTACTCTCCAGGCGGGCTCCTAACTGCTGACTTGAATTGTATTCCCTGCTCTCCAGGTGGACGCCTGACTTCAACAAAATAGACAAAACAAAGAAATTTTTTTTGCCCCAGTTCGGGTATCTGGACACATATGTAAGTGTAAAACGAACCACATTACCAAATATCAATAAGAACTTGAAAGCTAAAACTTGAGTTATACTCCCTTGTTCTCCAGGTAGGCTCCTGATTGCTGACTTGAAATGTATTCACTGCTCTCTAGGCGGGCTCCTGACTGCTGACTTGAAATGTATTCCCTGCTCTCTAGGAGGGCTCTTGACTACTGACTTGAAATGTCTTCCATGCTCTCCAGGCGGGTTCCTGACTTCAACAAAATAGGCAAAAACAAACAAAATTTTCTGCCCCCATTTGGGCATCTAGGCACGCATGTAAGTGTAAAACGGATCACATTACCAAATATCAATGAGAACTTGAAATCTAAAGCTTGAGTTATACTCCCTTGTTCTTGAGGTGGGCTCCTGATTGCTGACTTGAAACGTATTCCCTGCTCTTCAGGTGGGCTCCTGACTGCTGAACTTGAAATGTATTCCCTGCTCTCCAGGCGGGCTCCTGACTGCTGACTTGAAATGTATTCCTTGCTCTCCAGGCGGGCTCCTGACTTCAACAAAATTGACAAAAACAAAGAAAATTTCTATGCCCAGTTTGGTAGCTGGGCACATAAGTAAGTGTTAAACCGAATCATTCTACCAACTATTAAGAATCTGAAAGCTAAGTCCTATTATCCAGAGAGGTCCTGACAACTCTTAATTAGACGACAATTATAGATCTAAGCTGTATCTTTTAAAGGTATTACTTCCGCTAAAGTTTTGATATCTAAAAGGGTCTTAAATTACATCCCATTATCTAGGAAGGTCCTGTAACTCAAAATCAAATCTTGTCCTAAAAAATGACACTTTTACGACTGAATTATACTACCCTACGATAGAATTTACGACACGTCTCGTGATCTAATAGAAATCTCAAAACTAGGTCCCATTATTCAGAAGGGGGATCCTGAAACTCCTAATTGAATCCTATCTTAAACATGCAAACTTTGAAACCAACTTACCTTCCTCTATGCTATTCATGATTGTTTTGAATTTTAACTAAGCCACATTTTCCAGGAAGGTCCTCAAAGTTTACGGTCAAACCTGTCTGGTGCTTGCTTTTCCTTGCGTAGGGTTTCTCTGAAAAAAACAAATTTTTCTGCCCCTGTTTCAATCAAAGAAAAATCTTGTCAGTTTAAAACGCGGTGGTTGGTTTTTGGCCTTGACTTTGAGGGTGATTGCTCCTCCACTTCCCATGATAACTTTGACTTCCACTCGAAGACCTTGCTAACCACTTTCTCTGTCATCGTTATCACAGAAAATACCTCTTCTCCATTCAGACCCAATACCCTCTATCTGTTTCATTGCTCGTGAGCTGACATTTACCAAACCTTTGTGTCTCACATGAATCCCAAAGTACATCAATTGCCACCCACTCAGTACGTATGTTGTTCTTTCTTGACTTAAACCACTAGCCTTGGCCTTGAGGTCTATTTCTCCTTCACTTGCCATGATAACTTTGATTTCTGCTTGGAAGACCTTGCTTGTCACTGGTTAACCACTTTCTTTGTCAATCTTATCACAAAAATACCTTTGATCCATTAACCCAACATCCTCTATCTGTTGCACTATTCACGAATTGAAATATACCAAACCTTTGTATTTCTCATGGACCCCAAAGCATGTTGATTGTTACCAACTCAGTGCGCTTGTTGTTCTTTCCTGACTTATGACACTGATGTGCTGGCCAGATCCCGTTTTGTTTAATTGGAAAGCTGGTGGAAAATTTTGAAGTCATTTCTCACTTATTTTGACCAAACAGACTCAGGAAGAGGAAGTAAACAAGACAAAAGGAATAGAGTAAAGGACAAAGGAAAAAGGTGATTCCTAACAAGAAAACTACAAAGTAGAAACCTATCAGATGTGGATACCAACTATAATGACCATGCCATGCACCTGTGGCCTATTTTGTTGAGCAAGTCTGATGTTCAACTCTTGTTATACCCCTAAACCATGAAACATGGCTTCAATGCTCTGATTATCCAATCTGATTCACAATCCTTATTCGACTTGTGGTGCCCGAAGGGTTTTCACCATCAAGCCTCTCTCATTTTGATTCTTTCTCTCCACTTACCGTCACCTTATGGTACCCGCGGGGGTTTTCACCAGTAATACTCTCTCATTTTTTATTTCTCTCAGTTCCCGTCACCTTACGGTGCCCGTGAGGGTTTTCACCAATAACACTCTCTCATTTCCATTATTTTTCTACTTGGACCAGAGTGTTACCCCTGATATGAATTACCTCTCCTTACTTGACTTGGCATCTCTCGAAGACTAATCGGAAGGTCTTTATTTGGACCGTAATGTGGGCTTTTGGATGGGGTTAGAAATAAAGGGTATCAAAAGGCTAAAAAAACTCATCATGGGTTCAAAATTACAACTTTCGGAACCAAATGTCTTACAACAACCACAACTTGTGTCCCAGTTTCTTCCTTGGGAATTTTTGGATTTTTATTTTGATGGGACCGAACCGTGAGGCTGCCTACATATCTTTAAAATGAATCAGGTCGAACGTAGTTCATGTCATAGAAATTACTTTGTTGTTTTGATTTTTTTTCTCTTTCTTTGCTCTCTCTTTTGATTTCTTTTTCCCTTTTGTTGTTTTTCTTCCTCTCTTTTTTCTTTTCATTATTTCTTTCTCTTTTCATTCTTTCTTTCTCTTTACGTTCTTTTCTTTCTCTTTTCTTTTCTTTCTATTTTCTCTCCTTCCTTTACTTATCTTTTACGCTTTTGTTTCTGATATTTGTTACTGATTCCGAAAGAGGGGTATGAAAGAAAACAAATAAGGCTCAAAAGGGGTGACAAGGGATAAAATGTTTAGATAGCAGAACAAAATGCCTTCGTCATTTCAATATTCGAGACATGCCAAATACAAACAAGTACAATCAAAGAAAGAAACCATTCATAGTATCTCTTGACTGCATCAGAATTGATAGCCATTTCTAGACATTTGCCTTCTACATCTGTCAAATACAATGCACCATTGGACAACACTCTAGTTACAACGAACGACCCCTACCAAATTTGGGGAAAATTTGCCATTATCTTTACCCGATGCAACATGATGCATTCCAATAGTGTATTTTTATGTCCTACCTGCCCCAGTTTCACACAATTCGGGCTTGAAG